GGTATTCTAAAAGGCTTGATGGAGACTAAGCATGCATGTCTGATTGAAAATAAAAATTAATGAACAAAACAGATTATACATAAAATAGATGGAATTTCATGGCAGACCAAAAAAAAAAAAAAAAAAGTTCTATTTCTAACTAAAATCAAAGCGATACTAATTAATTTATTTCTTTATGAGTACTAATCTTAAGTACAGTTTGTTGTTTAATTTCTATTTTACTGGAAGAAAAGATGGTATATTTTAGAGTAAATAGTAAATAAACGAAATATAAGATTAATTATTTATAAAAGATCGCATATTTTAGAGAAATAGCAATAAGACGAAATATAAGAATAATTATTTAGAAAAGAAATCGTATGATTTAGAGTAACAGTAATAAGGTAAAATATAAGACTAATTATCTAGAAAAAATCGAATATTTTAGCGTAAATAGTAATAAGACGAACAGTAATAAGACGAGATATGAGATTAATTATCTCGAACAAAGAACCAACCGGTATGATCAACGAACGAAAAAGAATCAAAGAAAAGGACAGAGTGGAAAGAAAGAGACAAGAATTCGGGGCAAGACAGTGCTGGGCTGTCAAACGGTACCCTCGAAAGAGCAGAGAATCCTTTGCCGCTTCTGTGAGAACCGAACATCGCCTTTTCTGTCACCTATATAATATATATATATTATATATATATATATATATATATAATTTTATATTATATATATATATATATATATATATATATATATATATATATATATATATATATATATATATATATATATATATATATATATATATAATATATATATATATATATATATATATATATATATATATATATATATATATATATATATATATATATATATATATATATATATATATATATATATATATATAATATGTGCGTGTGTGTGTATAGATATATATATGCACACACACACACACATATAAGTATATGTGCATATCCTGCATTATAAACATAACGCAGCGTGTTATATCCGGCCGCCTAACGGCGCGGCGCCACCGGCCGGCCAGCACGCATCATGACACGCTCCTGCCAACACAAATAGGCTCCGGCGCGGCTCTAATGAAGCGCGACCGAGTGCATGTGCCAAGAATGCCGTTTGCTGATCGTTCTCCGCGGGAATCGTCAAAGGAGCACGAAATGTCTTTGTGGCATCTCGGCTATGCTTTCATGCCCCCGCGACGGCCGACGAGGGGCATCGCCGGGGTCGGGCTTGTGCTGATTTGCAAGATTCAGAGGTTGTGGGTATCGCTGTGGGGGTATTTGCGCGGGGTTTTTGATTTAAGGTGGGTGGGTAATTATGCGTGATTTATAAGTGGTGATATCTGGCATCTTTTCCTCTTTTTTTTTGGCGCGAAAAGTTTAGATTTTAAATAGTGTTAAATTCCCTTCCATTGACAGCGAAAAATAAACATTTCCAACTTCATTCATCTATTAAATCACAAGAAAACATAAAAAAGATCTTACATCACGCATTTTAAATAAGATATACACACAGTTACCCACAAATAAACAGACGTCTTACAAACAGAGAGAAGGATGAAAAAAAAGACGTTAAGTGTGGAGAAAATCTGCAACGAAGCCTGACGTTCTGATTAGCTAGAGCGTTCCCCTTGACTAGAGAAAGGGGCTCTGAGAAGTTAGGAAAAAAGAGAAAAAAAGAAAAGAAAAGAAGAAGACGAAGAAGAAGAAGAAGAAAAAAAAAGTTGAACAAATAAATGCTGATCTGTGCAAAAAAAAGAAAGAAAGAAGAAGTTGAAATAAATGAATCTGCAGATCTGTGCAAGGGAAAAAGAGAGAACGAACGAAAGAAAGAAAGAAAGAAAACAGCCATCACTGAACAAACAAGTGGTGATCTGTGTGAGGAAAAAAGGAAGAAGGAAGAAGAAGAAAAAGAAGAAGAAGAGGAAGAAGAAGAAAAAGAAAGAGAAGAAAAAAGAGAAAAAAGAAAAAGAAAAAGACAAGAACAAGAACAAGAACAAAACAACAACAAAACAAGACAAGAAGAAAACAGCCATCGTAGAACAAATAAATGCTGATTTGTGTAAGGAAAGTTATTAATTTATTTGTTTTTGCGAATTCTGTTCAAATACTCTCTAGTTAGGACAGAAGACAAAAAGTGTTTGTCCGTTATTCTTATTAACATAAAATTAGGTATATTTGTCTTCTTTTTTCTTTGTTTGTCTTACTTTTTCTTCCCTTTGTCTACGTGTTTTAGGTTTTTTTCTTCATTCTTTACCGTCTGTTTGTCTTTGTTTTGTTTTGTATTTCTCTTGTACTTCCTATATTTCTGTCTTGTTTTCCCTTCTCTTTTCATTCTCTCTTCCTTTTTTATTTATTCATTATCATTTAAGAAAATTCTACTGTATTATCCCCGTATTTCCTTCTACTCTACACACACACACACACACACAAAAAAAAAATGTGCATACCAAAAGAAAAAAAAAAAAAAAAATAATCTACACACACACACACACACACAAAAAAAAAATGTGCATTGCATTTCAACATCACTTGCAATATGGCGATGACAAAGATGCATTTAGCAGACGCCGATTTCACCCGAGGATTACCCACCCGATAATCCCCCGATTTCACCGAGGATTACCCCCCCCCATAATCCCCCGATTTCACCCGAGGATTACCCCCCCCGATAATCCCCCATTTCACCCGAGATTACCCCCCCCCCCCGATTTCAGCCGAGGATTACCCCCCCCCGCCCGATTTTCCCGAGGATTTTAACCCCGGATTACCCCCCCATATCCCCCGAGCGATTTCACCCCGAATTAACCCCCCCCACCCCCCACCGATACTCCCCGATTTCACCGAGGATTACCCCCCCCCCCGATAATCCCCGATTTCACCCGAGATTTTCACCCCCCCCCGATTTCACCCGAGGATTACCCCCCCCCCCCGATAATCCCCGATTTCACCCGAGGATTACCCCCCGAATAATCCCCCGATTTCACCCGAGGATTACCCCCGAAATCCCCCGATTTCACCCGAGGATTACCCCCCCCCCGATTTCCCCCGATCCCCCCCCCCCCGATAATCCCCGATTTCACCCGAGGATTACCCCCCCCCCCATTTCATTTCACCGAGGATTACCCCCCCCCGATTAATCCCCGATTTCACCCGAGGATTACCCCCCCCCCGATAATCCCCGATTTCACCCGAGGATTACCCCCCCGAGGATTACCCCGATTTCACCCGAGATTACCCCCCCCCCCCGATTTCAATCCCCCCCCCGATAATCCCGATTTCACCCGAGGATTACCCCCCCCCCGATTTCAACCCGAGGATTACCCCCCCCCCGATATCCCATTTCACCGAGGATTACCCCCCCCCCGATAATCCCCGATTTCACCCGAGGAGATTTCACTTACCCCCCCCCCGATAATCCCCGATTCACCCGAGGATTACCCCCCCCCGATTTCACCCCCCCCCCCG